CCTGTTCTCAGAACCCACAGCAGTTCTGGGGTACCAGGGTTGTTTCCTGCCCTCCCTGACCCCTGTCCCTCCTCAGCCCGTGGTGGAGACGTTCTATGGCTACGATGAAGAGGCTTCCCTGGAGTCAGATGGATCCTCCATCTCCTACCAGACCGACCGCACCGACCAGACCCCCTGCACTCCCGAGGATGACCTGGAAGAGGTACTCCCCAAAACCCCTTTTATTCTGGTTTGTAACCTACTGGTTTTTAATGAAAATCCTGTCTGTTCATGAAATTCCTGTCTGTTCTATTCTTTGTCAGTCACCTCAGACAAAATTAAACATTTATGTTCAATTTGACATTGTACATCTGGTCAGCATCTCTAAATCTCAGGTCTCCATCATCCCATGACTTCTGGCCAAGCTGGAAGCATCATACCCTAAGAATATTAAATTTACAGCAAGTTTGTGGATCTAAAAGGACAGAGATTGGACAGCCCTTGGGAGATCTGTGCACTCAGGGCTGGCTGCAGATTTTGGTGGGTGTATTTGCACCAGAGCAGGAAGGTTTGTGTTTGTAGGAGAAGGGAGCATCGCCCTGGAGCTCTGGGGGAAGGCTGGTCCTGGTTGGGTTCTGGAGCTGAGGCTGCTCCAGGGGCTCTGAGAGCACAGCACAGAGTGTAATACAAATTAAAGGGATTATTCCGTGTGTTTGCCAGGGCTTTCCTACAAATACATTCCCCAGCGTGTGAGATCATTGAACCATTACACAGTTCTGGGCTTAACAAGAACCTYGTAATAAACAAAAATCATCCCTGATGCTGTGCAGTGTTTTTGTGGWGCTCTGGCTGCAGGTGTGTGATTAAATCTGCTAAAAGGGACCCTGCAGAATTCCTGACTTACCAGGTGTGTGCTGCCCTGCAGGAAATCTGAATGTGTTTGTGGATGTATGAGCCTGTTTATTTTCCATTCCTATACTGACAGCCTTTCCCTGCTCAGCTCRGGGAAGTTGATGATGCACCCAGCAGTGTAATTCCATTTCATGTTGAGTGAAATATTCCGGTCAGCCCGACATGAAAGCATTCCGTGCTCCATATTGTAAGGAGGGTGAAGAAGATGAAGGGCTCCTTTCATGTTGCTGTCACCACTTCTACAACTATTAACTCTGGATTCGTGTTTTAATAATTGAGYGAGACTGTCAGGCCTGGCTTCCTTTCCAAATTGGAAACCTTTTGTTGTTAGAGAAAGCTGCATTTTCACCTTTAATGTGATGATTTCCCCTGTTACAGTGAGAAAGGGTGATGCAGTCATTAGTGTGCTATATGGAAGGCGAGCTTTTATCTTTCCAAGGCAGGGATTATATTTTTATTTCTATATTGCATTTTCTGGAGGTAAGTGTATGCAAGAGATGTGTAGGGGACGGAGGGGAAGCAGCTTGAGGACATTTAACCAAGATTTTTAGTACCCTGCTTCCAAATTGCATTTCAGAAGTGTACTTTTGGTGCTTTGAACAGAAAACAAACCTAATCCTCTCTTTTTTTTTTTTGGTGTCAGGGCATGGCCAAGGAGGAGACRGAGCTGCGTTTTCGGCAGCTGACGATGGAGTACCAGGCCCTGCAGCGCGCCTA